CAAAAAATAACCAAGCTTTAGCCGGATATATATATCTGAGTTTTTATATATTACAAATTTAAAATAAAGATTTCAGAATTCGATTATGATAAAAAAAAACACAGTAGTATTATTTTTAAATTGATTATAATGAGCGCTTAGTGCCTTTAATGTAAAAATTATTAAAATAATTTACCTTTTCTCTACGAATAAAAAATGAGCTTCGGTTCTAAATTTCTTTAATTAATACATAGTATCCTTCTCAAATATTGATTTACTAGTTTGATATAGCAATATAATAAATATATTAGTTTAGAATCGAATAAATATCACAAATCGTATTTAACCTAGTCGAATTGTTTTTTGATTAAAGGAAGTTTAGTAAGCGAAAGGTAAAGTATAAAATGTATAAATTAATACATATATACAGTTATAATGTCGAAGAACCACTATCATCATAGTGCAAAATTATTTTGGCCCTTAATAATAAAATTTGAGTAAATTCCCCTTACTGTATTTTTGCAAATCAATTGTTTTGCAATTGGTTAAATATAATTGTAATTGCAATTCAATTTTCGGCGCCCTGCTATAAATAATTTGAAAATTACTAACATGCTAATCTCGTGATTTAGAGAACGTACATAATTAATTTAGAGTTGATTAGAGTTTATTTAAAGATTATACGTCATTATTCTATGTTCAATTTGAAGATCATACGTAATTGCTGTATCATTATTCTATGTTCAATTTGTTAAAATATTTATAAAACATATTTAAAATTCATGTTCTTTGATATGAAAATATTGGGGTTTAGAACCTAAGTTATAGTTTTTGCTATTAAAGTATAAAGACCTATTCTCATAATTGAGAATTTCGAAAATAGCAGATTTTTTTTCAATTCCATTACCACTGTCTTTCATTGTTTTCCTAAAAAAAGTTACAACGTGATTGTGATTTTTTTTTTTTAACAGCCTCATATGAGAATGCTGCAAATCCAAAATATTTATAACATTCCATGAATTTCACAATATGATGAACCAAAACGTGCATATACGGACTAACATCTTTTGGACGATAAAGACCTTTCTTAAAAGATGCTGTGTTTGGTTCACCTTGATAAGGTATAAGAAATAGGTCGAGCTATTTTTTTGCTTGGGCTGCAAAAACAGCCGGATTAGTTTCTGGTTGCTTCATAAGTGTGTAAAGTGTATGAAAATCTCTCCACAAACGATTAATTAGCATAGATCGTTCTTTGTTAAAAATGACCTCAAAGTTAAAACTGTGCAATACTTTTTCTTTATCGTCATCCATTAAAGGTGTGTAAATCTAATTTTCTACGTTACATTGATCTTGTCAAAAATGGAATATTACTGAGATCCTTTTCATTTCTCTGACAATACTTTCTCTATTATATTCATCGTATCTACTTTCAGACTTGAGCTCCTGGATAGCTAATTCTCATAATCGGTCCCAAATCCTTAACATGACATGGAGTTTATCAGGTACATAGTGATCCAGAGAGATCATAGAAATAAGAGGAACTTTGGAATGTCTAGGTGGTGGTTTTGTGGCCTTAAGTTGTTCTATATTTTTTTCAATTATACATACTTTGTCTTTGATACCGATTTCTTTTTTCATGTATAAGCACCAAGAGCAAAAGTAATTTGCATTGGGTGCATTGAACCCCAAAATTATACACAAAAACTTCCAATCACTACTGAAAAAAGGTTCAATTTTCTATTTTATTCCAAAGTCATCTAACCCGTTTTTGACCAAATTATCTAATTTATTGATTACTGGTTTCATTATTGTTTTAAAAAGATCATAATTTTCTGTTCTAGGACAAAGAATGATTGTGTGATGGTAATTAGCTTTGTGAATATTCGATACATCATCTAAAATCGCACATGTAACCATTACATGTTTGATTTTTCTATCTATATTTTAGGGATGGCAAAAAATAGTTTAGAATATGCAATTATTTACTAAAACGCACCTATGGTGTTTTACACATATGTGTATATTATCTCAAAAACTGGCTAATTAACCAACGCAAGATGTCCTAAGTAAAATGCTCTACGCCAGTGTTGGAAATCTATTTTCAACATTGCTCTACGCCCCTAAAAACCCCTAAAAACATATAATAGGCGCAAAACCACCATAGGTGCGTGTTATAATAAATGATTTAGAATTATTGTATATATAGTCAAGTCACTGATATTTAAACAAAAAAATATCTTTTATTTAAAACACTTGTCATCCCTACATACATATATACTACATACTTATGTTGCGACTATCTTCTGATATACAGATATGGATTATTAGGTTATTTATATTCAGAACTTGTCGATTTAAAAGGTCCGGAATCACAAAGCATAATATATCTGTGATCCTTCTATAGCCTGCATTACCAATATATCATATCATTTCTTCTTTAATTTCTTGATCGGTAATATCGGGTGGCTCATTTGTTGTTATAAGAGAAATATTTGCTATGTTTAAAACGGAAACAGAAACTTTTTAGTTTATTTTATTATTAATTTTTTTTCTAGCATTTGAGACATCATAATCATGTGATAATTCATGTTGAATAGCAGCTAAGTTTCGATATAATTTCTGAGAGATTAGACTCTAGTCAACAATTTCCGTAACTGCTTCAATATGGTTATTTTTTTTATCTCTATTTCTATTATGATAATCAACCACATAGTTCTTTTCTTGAACATTAAATCGAAGTTCTTGTAGAATGAGTTGATCTATTGGATTATAGAATTTGTGAATTTCATTTTTAAAGGCTATACCAATTTGCTTTGAAAATGTGCGAGAACGTTTTTCTTTTATGGACTTGCCCAATGTGTTAAATAGTTTAAAAGAATAAGATCGATTCTTTCTCTCGCGTTCTTTCTCCACATCTATTGCATTAAGCCCAAATACATGCACCCCCGAAAGTTGTGCTTGCGTATCAGGATTTTTTTCTATGTAAAAAAAAAAATTTTAATTTTTTATTAAAAATTATAGAAATTAATTGCTAAAAAGAATTAAATTAACTTTTAAGTATTCATTGGCAGCTTTAGTCACGGATTCTTTCGATGTTATTACAAAACTTTGTTTATCTTTTTCAAACCTAATTATACAAACTGGCCCATTTATTTTATATTTAATTTCACAATCTATTACATGCTGTGACCTTCCTCAGCCCCACCTTGTTTGTATTACATAATTATCAGGAATTCTGTACGAGGTTCCATTGTGAGAGTGAGCTGAGGTATAATATGTTTTATTTTTTGATGGATAAACCCCTTCACTAATGATAGTATACGTATAAGTAGCATTATTCTGTTTAAGTGAAAACAGGTTGTCTTCAGAATATTTATCGCTGCTAAGAGACATCTTAATATAAAAAAAGCTGTTCTTATTTGATTTATTATATATTATGTTAATTTTTATTCACAGAAAATTCTATGCCGATAGAAAGCTCTAATAACATTAATTTTACCTTTGGTGTCTTTTATAAACAACTCTACCAAGGTACCGTTTAAATTTCATATACCTAATATAGTATCATTCCTCCTCACACCAAGGTACCATTTCCATTGTGCTGTTTTTTGAAAAGCGCCCATACTCTAATATGGCATCATTCCTCTTCACACTAACTTAATTTACTAATTCAACTAGTTAACAACTGGTTGCTTAAATAGTTCCAGTTATTGTAATACATAAAAAAAAAAAAGGCAAATTATAAAGTAGAAATCAACTTAACTATATGCAAAATTTATTCATTTGTAGGTTTTAACACTGTACGTATTAAAAAAAAATCAGTTATTCATAAGAATGTAAGTAAATAAAGTCATTTGCTTTATCCAAGGATGGATTATTTTTGACAAAGAATGAGCTATACTAATTAATTATTTGCGGAGAGATTCTTATACGCTTTACAAACTTATGAAGTAACTAGGAACTAATCTACTTTTCAAGAAAAAAATGACTCAACTTATTTTTTTACGCCTCATTAAAGTTTCTATCATTCAAAAAATATTATATATACATTTTAATCGTCATATACATGAATTTATAGCATTAGTATTGTCTTTTATAATTAGCGTTAAAGTAATAGTGAATATGGAATTCGTCAAAACTTTCGCATAAAAAAAAAAGCAAGAAACGGCATGCTGAGGTGAGTATAGTATTAAAAAAATCTGGTACCGCATTAAGCTTACTAAAATTATTTTGCGATATGTCAGTATTTATTTCATATGGCATAAATGTACGAGAAAATTAAGGTTTGAATCATATGATTTGTACAGCTCAGATTTTGATTTTTCCTAGCAAAAATTCCGCATGTTGAAAGAATTTTTTATTTATAAAAATGTACGTTAATTTTTTTATATTTATGGGAGCTAATCTATTCATACACTACTCTACAAGAACAGATGCAAAAGATCTACTGGTTAAGGTATTGTCATTAACAAAGCGTATTAAACCAGTACACATGTTCGATTTGTGACAACTCATTTATTTTTTTTTATTTAATAGTGGGAATGGAAAGAAATTCAGTACAATGGTTCTCTTTTGACCTGGTATTTTCATCTAAATCTGAAAGTGCATATTAAAAAAAAACAGAATATTACGAGTAGCAGCATTAAGTATGGAAAAGAGGTGTATAATATTAGTTCAATGTTATATACTCTGAAAGATATGATTTGTAATTGATTTAATTTCGTCATATTAGTGTTTAAGCTTTTTATTTACTTATTTTATATAGCTGCTAAGACTGATGGTAAAATTGGAGTCAAAAAAAACGTATATAAAGCATTCTTATATCTTTCATTCACGTCAGCACCTGTACAAATTTGGAGTCGAAAAGAATGTAAGTAAGGCATTTATCATTTTCAAAAATCTAATGAGTTATGCCCTTGGAATGAATATAGTTAATCGTTGTTATAGAAACAGATATCAGAGTTAAAGAGAATGAGAACTGATAACATAGTGTCTATTTATTTAAAAATCTGTCTAAAGACAATAATTCATATTATATGCTTTAAGTTGGTGACATGGTTACGCCTTTTTTTTTCTAATAAAATATTTTTTTATATATTGGACATATATTAGAACATACTACTACATTCATTATATCCACCAATCAAATAATGCTAATTTTTAGCACTAATAAAAATGCAGACTGTTTTGCATTAGAAAGTCAACAAGTTTACTTAAAATACTGATAGTTGTTTTTTCCAATTTCATTCATTAAACGTAATCTATAGCATTCATAGCATTTATAAATTATTTGTCGATTCATAATGCTCCATTACCGGCCAAATAACATAACCCATTTTTGTAGCAGCTCACACCTTTAGCAAATTTCAAATACCACCAGAATGCCATTTTTATCTTTTGCTATGCCTATGCGATTTCTGTAGTATGTTCCAGGATTACACCAATGGTAAGAATTATCACCTTCAGCAGATTTCAAATATTTCTAATGCCTTGGTTGTGCTTATTGTCTTGCCTAGTAGCATTGTCACTTTTAGCAGATTTCAGACACCACTTAAGTACTTTTTCCATCTTTGGTGTGTCCATATTTTGTTATAGCAGATTCCAGGGATTATTCTGTTCGGTAGGATTTAAGATTTCAAATGCAACCTAAATGCATTCTTTTTTTTGTTATTTCAATTTTGCAAATAATAACTAAATTATTCACTGGTTCTTATTACTTCTATACTATTTTTTTGAAGTTATGTATTTCAATAAAGTTTAACTTACTACAAATAAAAAAACCTCGTTTTCTTCCTCTTTTTTTTTTTTTTTCTTAGCCTAAGACTTTTGCTTTTCTTTAGTAACTCAATTTAAAAAATTCGTATATTATAAAAAAAGAAATATTAAACCGGAACAGCTCGAATAAGAACCAAGTAATTGTATATTTCTCTAACTAAAGTAGAGTTCGACGTATTAGATAACCTGTATATAAGTCTTGGCTTGTATATTAAATCGACTATGTATCACATGTCGAATTTGATTGGATTTCAAATACATCAATTGACTGACCTACCTGTGATCTACGTAATATGTCGAATTTGATTGGATTTCAAATACGTCAATTGACTAACCTACCTGTGATCTACGTAATGTAAATTTGGGGTGTGTCAAAAAAATAAACAATTCTGCAAATCTGCTCATATGTATAGCACCAATCCTAATGAGGTTAGAATACCGAGTGAAGCTTCCAGATCACGATTGGGTTGTTGCTAAAAGGCATAAACTGATTCTATCAGTTTATACAATATTAAATATGGAGAGAGGTAAGTATAGAAATTCTGAAGCAGTAACTTATTCAGGTTCAACATTTATAAGGGTCCATAGTGGTAAACACGACAGCAGTACTGCCTACTCATACGGTAAAAACTTTGATGAACTGATGGTTGAGGAGAAATTACACGATTATACTAAAATGGATGGCCAGCCTAAACCTGTAATAGTGATGCTAAGCGATGGTGGTCCTGACAAGAACCCTTGATACAGAAAGACAATTCAAATAATGATTGAACATTTTGACAAATATGACCTTGATACAATTATTGTGGCATGCTTCACGCCACATCAGAGTGCATCCAATCTGGTAGAAAGACGAATGGCGCCCTTAAGCCATGACTTAGCTAGCATGATCCTCCCACATGATACCTTTGGATCGCATTTGGATTCACAGTTAAGAACAGTTGATAAGGAATTAGAAAACCATAATTTTAAAGCAGCCGGAAATGTTTTAACTATAGATGCTGGTGAAACTAAATCATGCTGGTGAAACTGGTAACTATCTAAAATTTGATTGGCTATTTCATTCACCAGCCAATCAGATTTTAGATAGTCACCAGTTTCACCAAGTTTTACCAGTTTCACTAGCATCTATAGTTTTGACATTAGTGTGGGAAGATACAATTATCGATGGCTATCCAGTTCTTGCTAAGTACATAAATCCTTCCGAAGAACCCTACTACTTGAGGGAAAAAACAGCAACTTGGATAGAAAATCATGTAATGACTTGCCATTATATGACTCAAGTCACAAAGTGTAATGATCCAAGTTGTTGTAAACCTTTCCGAAGTGGAATCCAGCAGATTCTTCCAAAACGATTTTTTCTCACCACCACTTCTCACCCAACAGAAACCTCGTAGTATTTGCGCAGCAAGTATGAGTATATCCGATAATACAACTCACTTTAGCAGCTTTCTTCTCTCTGTATTAATGGAAGGAAAGTTAATTCCTCCAGACATGAATCTACAGTATATTCCTTTCGATTGGTATTGCCCAACTGTAAATAAGTCAATCAATGAATATCTCTGCTCTTATTGTAAACGGTATTTCGCTTTAAAAAAAGCTTTAAAATACCATACTCGAGGATGTCCATATAAGCAATTAAATTTACTTGTAGAACCTGATATGGATACTCCAGACTTCCAGACGAATAATATATCTATTCATAATTATCGGCATGGTGAATTCTTAGTTAGTAATAAAAACTATGAGGCAATATGGGTAGATGAAGAAGTAATACCAGAAGACTTATCTGAAACATATCATCAAGTGCAAATTTAAGAAGAATTGGTTGCAGACAAAGTAGAAATAGTTGATTGGGAAGTATAGGCACAGAGTAAATGGACAAATGAGTAAAACTTATTGATATCGAATTTATTCAAATAAGTAAAACTTATTGATATCAGATCAGTTCAAATGAGTAAAGCTTATCGTTATTGATATCAGATCAGTTGTTTGAGTAATACGTACTTCCTTTAAAAAAATCTTCACCAATCGACTTGACAAAATAATAACCTGCTCTTAGATCTCAACTTTGCAGTATCGAAAAACTGCTCAACACATACCCCAATTCAAATTCTCCACAACACAATTGAACACTATATCACACATAACAAAGAGGCATGGATATTGTTTCAGGACATGTCCAAAGCATTCGACAAGATCAATATTAATCGTCTACAAGATGCCTGCCGCAGGATAGGCATCCCGACTAATAGTATAAATCTAATTACCGAACTATATACCTCTCGACTAGCCAAAGTAATTACCGCACATGGTCTCACATCACCAATTCACATTGAATCCGGCATAGAACAAGGAGAAACATACTCTCCTCTACTATGGAA